GCTGATAGCTGCAACGATTTTACACATCTTGCAAAATCATCGGGTTCACTCCAAGCGCTAGGTGCGTAACCAAGTTGAAGGAAAGTACCATTAGCGGTCGCTTTATTACCAACCGACCCTTCTTTATAGGCTCCGGCTAATTGATCGTGTCCGAGCAAAACATAATTTCAATAAAGCAACTCGTTGAAGCTCAGCCCTGGTCAATTTCATCTGACCAGGCTAAACTTCAGCAACTTGCTTTGTTAAAATTCCGTGGGAGCATCTGAGAAGGGATTCATTTCTCGCGACGCTGCAGGGGTTACCTTCAAGAGATACATCCATCAGTATGTCAGCCATTCATTTATTTTCACTCCTCTGTGCAAAACAGTAACCACTGTGCCTTGTAAATGTTCGTGCTTATCAATTACCAAGATGCAATAAAACTGTTCGATACTATTCAGCACCTACTTTAATTTTGCAGGAGTGATAAAGAACTAGACAGTGCCGAAGTGCAATGTGGTGTAATCCTGAAAATTTCAAGTATGTTGAGAAGGCACTGTGCCACGTTTGTACAGGCTAAGCTTGGTTGTTGCGAAATAATGTCAGCCTGACCAGTGCTTGGCAGTGCGGTAAAGGTCAAAAATTCATACACACAAAAACATAACTGCACACTAAATAAACGCATTATGAGAATTAATGTGAATAGAGAAAAACAACCCAGCAAGTGATGCACCAGGCCTGTCGATGCGACCGTGGGACTTAGATGATTCTATCCTGTGGAAGGATAACCTTTACTGATGGGGTTGTGACTGCTTTTGTTGCAGTTTGGACATATGAAGCGCCTTTACGCACGGGCCGCGCCTAGGCAGAGGCTTATATTGCGATTTTTGGCCCATACATGAACAGTGAATATGCTCCGAAAAATAATGCCTTGTTCAGTCTGGTTGCTGAGTTAATTGGATGTCAACGGCGTCCCAAACTAAGCATTAATTTGTGCACGCATGAGTCCTAGACATGTTTTAAAGTTCAGTAAGAAATATTCCGATCGCAAAAGCTATGAAATATCCTCTTTTCTTTGGAATACAGCGTGAATCAAGAAAATGCATAGAGAGCCGCGGATTGTGCATTGGCCAGAAGAGAAAAGTTCTTAAACTGAGGAAAATGGGAAGTGGTGCAAACACATCTTTTGCTCAAACTTCTTTGATGAGAGCACTGTGGCCGTATCACACAAACCCTTCTATGAAAAAAGTGGTATCTAGATAACCCAGTCCTGAGTTGCTTTGAGCACGGAATACACTCATAAATTTGGCTCAGATCTCTTCCACACATTTGCGGTGTATGGCAAATTTTCCTTTGCGAGGAATGACGGCAACCAACATCTGAAAAAAGCTGCAAGAATAATCATCTTTATGAAAAAGAGGAGGACGGTCAAGTTTCGGCGCTTGGGATTCTGTGTCTCCAAACACAAACGTACCGCTCTGACAGAAGTATGGCATGAGGACATTATAATGGTAGTCTTTGGAGTCGCTGGCAACAGCGAACTGGTTGAGCAGAGAAAGAAAGAAATGCACTTCACACCAATTCCAGCTAAAAAAAATTCTACTCTGCACATACAGTGCGGCCGTATGATTCCGTTAAGGATCAAGATATTCGCCTACTCAGTTGTAACAGAAGATTTTAAAGATGAACTGTATGTGTCAGACTGTAAAGCGATGAACGTTATAAAAACAAGGAGTGTGGCCTCTGGGCGAAGCTGTGCAAAAACGCGTGCATGCACAGTTACCTTTTTAATATGCGTAAACTACTTATTATCAAGAAAGAGAGATGACGGGATGACATGTGTGTTGCAAGTAGCTGAATTTTGAAAACTTTCACTACCCGTTTCATGTTTAACACTTCTGTAACTGACTGCCTTTCAGTGAGTGCTCTGGAACGATCTTGATAATGATCAGTCTGCATAAGAAGCCACTTGTCTGCGATAGATTGGAAATGATTCTACAGAACTTTATTCATTAACAAAGGCTGGAACGCACCAGGCGAGCCGGTGCGATCATGAGTTTTTGCATCAAAACTAAAGTA